TGATTGCAATTATTAGTTACCAGTGATTAATGAGTTTATAATCCATAAACATGTACATGTACAGCCAGTGTGGTGTAGCGGTTAAGGAATCAGGCTAGAAACTGGGAGACTGAGTTCTAGTCCTGCCTTAGGTACCTCCCTCTCTCTCAGCCCTAGGAAGAAGGCACTGGTAAGCCACTTCTGAAAATGTTGCCAAGAAAACTGCAGGGGGCAGTTGTCAACAGTCAAAAATGACTTGAAGGCCCAACTTTTAAGTTTGTATGTTACATGCTATTTTACATGTGTATAGTTAGTTTCTATACTTTAATCTAGAAACATATGAACATTTTAACATGTTGCTATTACAGGCATTTGCAATTTACTTGTATATTTATATTGTAGCACCCAAATTTGTACTCAGTTTGGGAAAAGCTGCACAAAACCATTTTTTTTCCCTGTATATGGCATGCCAGAAATTAGAAGGAACATTGGTTCTACGAGTGAGCTATAGTTTGGTTTTGGGTTATGTGTACCAAGTAATGTAGATTGTAGACCATGGCTTATGGCTTAAAATGACATGACATCTTTAAAGAGAGCCTTTGTATGTACATTTGCTGAACCACTTTTCTGTTTTTTCTGTTTATTCAGGCTTGCTTTCTTATAGTGTGACTTTTGAATAGGCAAATTAAAATTAGAGGAAGTTTTTAAAACTGTATCTCTTACTGAAACTTTAATAAAGCTTCTCACAGATGTTCAATAATACCCTAAAGAAAGGAACTCATGTGGATTTTTTACATCAATATTTTGTTTCTCCTGAGAGACTTGTTACAAGACTGTGACAAAATTAGAAATCGTGCTGACAGGGAAAGATGAGAGGTATTTTCCACTTCCACCATGTAATTACTTAAAATAACTGGAGTCACAGAGGACTGTTTAATAGGTCTATTAAGTGGAGCCTGTATTTCACAAGGAATCAGTTATACAGCATGTTGACATGAATAGAAGAATCATTAATTTTTTAAGTGAAGAAGCTGCCTGCCAAAAGAATGCTATGAGAAGATAGGCATTCTGGTTAGATACCATTTTTTATGGCACCAAGGATTTCCAGTGTTTTTGGCAAAGCCCAATTTTCCAGAGCCACGGTCTTCAATGCAGACAAAAAGTTTGTAACTTTCTTCCATTCTCTTTGGGATTTACATTATAGAATTTTCTTTAAAAAATGAATTATGTTCCTACTATGTGCCAACCCCCCCACTTTATATCTATTTAATGAGCTTGCCATACTATTTTCTTTTGGGGACTGGAGTTGCTCACCTTTCTCAAGCTAAGCAACAGCCTTAGCAAACGGCCATGGCCTTTTTGCAGTGAAAGAGTAGCTATTTATAAGGGGGCGGATGGATCAGATATATATAATGAGGTGAACAGATCAGATATATATCAGGAAGCTGTTTCCAGTAAAATCTGTAGCCAACCTATTGATCAGAACTAGAATTTATTTTTTATTGCTAGATCTTTTGGAATGTTTCCACAGTAGTTGCTATCAATGTAACTTATGACAGAGAATTCCATAGCTTAAATAAGAGTCATATGAAATGTTTTCCTGAATCTGTTAGTATTATAGGACACAGCTTGCATAATTTTATATTCCTTTATAAAGTTCTTCTGTTTTTGCCTTTTTTTTCAAGCCACAAGGGACCTTTTCTTACAGGGCTCCAGTAATGTCATCACTTGGTGGTGTCCCTTTTCTGTATCTTCTTCACCTTTGTAAAAACTTTTTGAAGTGTGGTGGCCACAAATGTATACTGTACGGTCAAAACAAATTTAACAGAATGACCAGTGGCAGGTGTTCATTATTCCTGAAAGCCCCCTACTTCATTTTAGTGAAAATTATGTCATTAGCATAATGGCATCAATCAAATGATATAAACTGTCTTATTTGGGTAATGATGCAAATAGCAACAGAATTTTAACCAGTCAAGATCCATTCAAGCAAGGGCCCATTGTGTTCCAAGAGCACATAAAAAGTTTATATAGCAACATTATTCAGTTTTATCTAAATGCTGTTAATCAGATCAGGAATGATTTAAATATTTCTATTAGTAAAAAGAAGCACTGAATGAATTGAAATATGGACTTTATAAAAATTGGAAATGAATATGCAAATAAAGAACTGCCCTATCCATATAGCTGCTGTAGAATTAGGCCTGAAGGGGTCATTTAAGTTATTGAGTCTGATCTGCTACTCAGTGCAGGAATGATTCTTGTCACTACAAAACTATGCATTCAGATGTATGCATAGGTACAGCTAAAAGAATTAGAAGTAATACAAATGGTTTAAGGTTTGTCTGTGTTGTATCAGAATGTTCTCTATCCCTTCTGCCAGTCACTGATGCAGGTGTTAATACATGCATATACTTGGTTGCAGGCATGAGCATATGATGGAGAGGGTCTAGAGAGCCACTTTGGTGTAGTAGTTACAGTGCTGGCCTAGAAATCAGGAGACGGTGAGTTCTAGGCCTGCCTTAGGCATGAAAGCTGGCTGGGTGACTTTGGGCCAGTCACTCTCTTTCAGCCCCATCCACCTCAAGGGGTTGCTGTTGTGGGGAAAATAGGAGGCAGGAGCATTAGGTAAGTTCACCACCTTGAGTTATATATATAAAAAAGGGATGATAATAATAATAATAGTTGGCTAGAACTGGCCTGCAGGTAAGTTTTAAATGAGACTTTAATAAACAGGTGAGTGACCTTGCCTATTTCTAATTCAATCCTATGTAGATTTGGTTTCTAAGCAGTCTTCACTTCAGACTATTCACTGAGGTTTGCTACACAAAAATAGCAAGTTGGCCACTATGGTAGAAAACTTATTCCCTCTGACAATTAGCAATTCCCACTGGAACAGAGAGTGGCAAAGCAAGCCTCTTAACTAAGAAAAAGGGGGGAAGCAATGCAGTCCAGAGAGCACAAAGTCAAATAGCAAGTCCCCTCTTCCAAGTGGCAGTGCTGCCTTAAAAGCCTTTGGCCAATAATAACCCTGGCAAGGCTCAAAAATAAGATATTCTTTGCCTGTTGCTACAGTTTCTGCTTTTGACAAAACAAAAATCTAGTTTGTACACTGCACTGTAAACTCAACTACAAAGCCCCAAATGATTTTGGCCAGTTTTAAAATTTAACTGCATCTGGGAATTGTCAGCTTTTGTTCTTTCAAGCTATATTTTTGAGGGAAATTAAGAAAGCAATTGGAGAGAACGTTTGAGAAGGTATTTTGATGAAGTGCCAATCATGGAAGAAGTAATATTCAATGAAATGCAGAAAGGGTGCCCAAGAGCCTGGATTTGCATCATTTCATGGATTTGGGGATTATTCCTTGATTTACAGGTATGAATAACCTCAGTGAAGATGGACAGAAACTTGGATCTGCTTAAGAGTTTCTGAGTGCAAATATGTCAAAACTATTGAAGCTGAGATCCCTTAAAAGTAAGCTGTACCAAATTCAGTAGGATCTGCTTCTAAAAAGACATGATTTGGAATTGCAGTGTCAAATGCAGTTATATTGAACCATGTTTTGATACACACACACACACAGTACTGTGCAAAAGCTTTAGGCAGGTGTGAAAAAATGCTGTAAACTAAGAACGCTTTCAAAAATATATATTGTAATTGTTTATCACTTTACAAAATGCAAAGTGAAGGAACAGAAGAAAAAGCTAAATCAAATCAATATTTGGTGTGACTACCCTTTGGCTTCAAACCAGCATCAATTCTTACACTTGCAGACTTTGTATACTTGCACAAAGTCAGGGATCTTGTAGGATTAGAGTCAGGTGTATGATTAACCAATTATACCAAGCAGGTGCTAATGATCATCAATTTCATATGTAGGTTGAAACACAGTCATTAACTGAAACAGAAACAGCTGTGTAGGCTTAAGTCAGGGATCTTGTAGGATTAGAGTCAGGTGTATGATTAACCAATTATACCAAGCAGGTGCTAATGATCATCAATTTCATATGTAGGTTGAAACACAGTCATTAACTGAAACAGAAACAGCTGTGTAGGCTTAAAACTGGGTGAAGAACAGCCAAACTTGGCTACTAAGGAGGTTGTGGAAGAGAGTTTCAGGTCACAGGTCATTCACCATGGCAAGACTGAGCACAGCAACAAGACACAAGGTAGTTACATTGCATCAGCAAGGTCTCTCCCAGACAAAAATTTCAAAGGAGACTGGGGTTTCAAGATGTGTTCAAGCTCTTTTGAAGAAGCACAAAGTAACG